GATCTTCTATCGTTGCACAAGACACCATTCAGTTCTCTGTGTTTGATCTCTACCATCATTTCCTCCAGTCCATCTGCAAGAGGACCATTATTTCCGTCACTTTTACCCTGCTCTATATTTTCAAAGTTGCACATTTTTTTACCATTGCTATGTGCCTGTCTCTTATACACCTCTCCCACCTTTTTTTTTGTATGATTTATGAACCTATGAAATTCATATATAAGCAATAACCAATCTGTCTTTCACGCTTATGCATGCTTGGTTGCTTACATGCACATTTACCTCTCTGTCTCGTCACTGTTGCATTGCATGATAAACAATGCTAATTTGATAAGCGATTTCTTCTAAGTTGCTCAAGAGTCGCTAAAAATTATTTTCACACTGCCACTCACGGTCACAGGCTTTTCATTCAAATAATTTTGTAAATTTATTCTCCTATGCTTGTACTAGGAACATCGAATAACAAGTGCAATAATAATCAAACTAATTCATCCTAAAGTTTCTTTGAAGAAGCTGTGTAGAAAAAACTGTGGTGATTGATGAAACGTATCATCCAAAATTATTGGAAGCATTCATCACCAGACATTTCATACACTGGTACACAGACATACTGGAGTTCTCTTACTAACTTTTGGCTTGGTTGGCATCTCAGGATCAGAAATGTTGAAGCTGCAACAAAAGTTGGCATCACTGGTCTCCATTTTAAGAATGCAGAGTTGCTACTCGAAGATCTGCATAGATCAGGAGTTGACATTTGAACTCATAGACATCAATGAAGTTAGGATCAAATTTGGCAACCAGAGCCACTGAATTCATCAATGGTTTAAATTCCTTATATTCTTTTTAAAATTGAGGATAATCATGGAATATAATAACCATTGTACTTGTCAGTTACATCTTTATCTAAAATTCTTTAAAATGATTTCTTTTAATGTACATGGAATAATAAGCTTGATCGAAGGTTACAAAATAGAGGTAGTTCTCTTCCATCTCTTCACATATTCCCTTGCTCATTTACCCATTCCATGACTTGAATTTAGACCTAACTTTCAAAGGAAATAGAACTGAACTGATAGATGTAGTTTAGTTGGGTGAGAAAACTAAAGGGCCTTAGGCCTTGTCAAATTTCTTTCCCTCACTGCGTTCTCAAGCAAGCCATCCCTTGAGCATTTCAAACGAATCAAACCTAAAGCATGAGCAACCATTCGCTCTGTAGGAATCAGCTGCTCCTCCCTTGAGAATTTCCCAACTCCGCTTCGACCCCTCCCATCTCTGCTGATCCTATTTTCAACTTCTTCCCGCTCTACAATCCTGTAACTAGATGATGAAGATGACGATGCATTGCATTCATCACTGCTGCTCTCTGTCTTCTCCTGTATATTAGACAAGGTGGGATGTTCTTTCAAAAACCTCCCCCTGCTTTGCCAACCTGCTGGGTATCCAACTAACTCAAAGCACTTGCAATGTTCATACCTTTTCGAGGTTGTGGACTGTTCTTGAAATCCATTCTTTGTATTCCCTCCATGAATCCCATTTAAATATTGTACAACAGAAGAGACTGCTGATTCAATTGAGCGTTCGCGGCTTGCTATCAACACTTGTTGTTTTTCTTCCTTGCAAACCAAGGCATATGCACTGTTCAATCTTGGTAACGGCTCCATGCTTAAAATTTGAGAACAAACATCACTATAACAATCATTCAGACCCATAAGAAATTGGTGCAATCTTACTTGATCTCTTTCCACTTCATCAAAATCCTTGGCTGCAACGCAAGTGCACTTTGGAACCTTCGAATACGTCCCTAATTCTTCCCATAGGTCATTCAATTTGGCAAAATAAGCCGCAACAGATGAATTACCTTGCCGTGCTCTGGCTATCTCCCTCTTCAGTTCATGTACTGCTCTTTGAGTATTGCTGCCTTGTGAAAATCTCTGCTCTAAATCATCCCACATATCATGAGCATCTTCGAAATACGCAACACTAGCATGTAATCCCGGGGCAATGGAATTAAACAACCAAGATATGACCATTGAATTGCAGATTTCCCAAACTTTCACGTCAGGATTTTCGGCATTAGGCTTGGGCAAAGATCCATCAACGAAGCAAAACTTGTTCATGGCACGAAGTGCATTCGACATTGCCCAACGCCATGTTGGATAATTTTCTCCGTTAAGCAGACATGAAACGAGGATGTTTCCTGGATTAGCGGATGAACTTAAGAAATAAGGTGATGAATAATATGATGATGTCGGGGCTGAGGCTTGTTTCTGGCTGGCGGCAGCCATGGATGATCTTGAATTTTCTTGCTTTCAAAGACTTGAGGCAAAAGAATGTAGTTTAGGGTTCTGTAATCAGCTCTTATATATATAGTAATGAAAAAAAAATGGCAGCTGAATTCCGAATTCTATTCTTATTAGAATAATACAAACATCCTTAACATTTTAACTTGACTAATTATTTAAAAGGCACCTAAGTTAGAAGACTAATTGATTATAAGTTTTTGCGAAAAATGCATTTTTAATTTTAGATACTGAGTTTAAATCCCTTCACTAAATTTATATTTGCTTAAAAAAAAAAACTAACTACTCAAATGTCAAGTAAAGAAATAAATATTATACAGTAATTTTTTATTTTAAAGTAATTATTTTTAATTTTTTAAAATTAAAAATAAGAAACAATATATATATTTACTTATAATATCTATAAAAAAGAAATAAAAAATTAAAAGACTTTTTTGTAGTTGAATAATTAATTAAATTAAATTAATAAATAAATATTTTTCTACTTTCAAACATTAAAAAAATAGCAATTAATTTAAAATAAATTGAAAGTCATAAAACAATATTTAGTTTAGGATGGAGAGAGTTGTCATATATACTTTACTATTTACTTACTATGATCCAAAAGCTTACATATTATTTTTTATTTTTACCCTTAATCATAATTACTCGCTAGCGGAAAAAAAAAAAAAAATTCACAATTAAGGAAGAGGACGTACGGGAGGCAATATTTTTTTATATACTTCCCCTTGCCTACTTTGGTTACGCTAAAATTGTAAAGGAAATTAAAGGTAATCTCCTCCCTCCCTCTAATTCTTGTTACCTAAATAAAGAAGTTTATTTTTCTTCCATTCCCTTAACTAAAACAAACTATTAATCACAATTAACAAAAAAAGAAAAAAAAAAAAAAAAAAACACTCCGAGGAAAGAATTT